CGTCGAATGTCCGACGACGATCAACTGGCGTAGTATTGTCGTTTATCATAGAACACACCGATTTTATATACCGCGAGTTCCGGAGATACGTGCCGGATTCTGCAGACCGGCCATAATATTATTTTATGTTATGTAGTGTAGGCACTATACGTCGGGGTCGTCGTCTGCAGCACGCCGTTGTCCACGCATTAAGACAATCGGCGCGTGGGCCGTGTGCATCGCGTCGCGATATGTGCATAATAGTATAATATATAACAACGCGTCATAACGGTAAGTGTGGAATTTCCGAACTTGTTTTTAATAATAATGTATAGATACCTATAATAAGTATCCAACGTATATCATTCTGTCGATGATTGGCGAGAACGAAAATAATTTAACCGTCTTATAAGAACGACCTGAGGTTCACGACGCCGCCGTTATACATCCGCAAGCATAAATATAAACGCAACATGTATTTTACATTCGTACAGAAGAAACGCTATCGATACGAAAGCTATTTTGGGGGGTGGGAGGGGAGGCTAGGTTTCGAAATTTTGACGACAATACTGTAGGAGTCGCTCGCCTGCGGTTTGTGTATTGTACGCGATTTTATTTGACTAATGATTTGGTCGAGTACAGCGCATGCATTACAGAATCATGTGTTAATATTATATAAGTATAAATTGGTATATATGGTAGTAAATAAATGCATTGTAAGCCCCGACATTTTCGAATATAAAAAGAAATGATTTTAATTATCGATTCAATTAACATACTTTTTTAAACACAGCTTAGTGCCTACACAATACAGATTGTTTACTGTAATATAAAGGTAATATAATATTATGTATATGTAATTATTCCCACTTGTAGGCAGGTACTTAGGCTGATGATTGATTGTCTTTCAAACAAACGTCTAAATTTAATTATTTAATAACCCACCAAATAAGCACACTTATACTTGCATACAGCAAATATTCTTCAAAAGACACGCTGTAAACAACAAAAACTAAGACAATAAAACGTTAAAAATCTTCGTCAGTTTTTAAAAACGAATAGATGATAGAAAGAGAAAATATTATTCACGTTGTACAATTTAATGATTTGCATACAATTTTTTTTTTGCGTGTGTACATTTTGAGATAATATTTAACGTGAACAAATTCAGTTAACTCTATTGCGAACCGAGGTATAGTCATTATTTCTCTCGCACAATATCATCACCGCGTAGGCGTGCGTTCAAGTCTCTGCAGCATCGACGGGTCCAACGACTTTTAGTTGTCTGGGATTTATAAATAATGGAATATGACCGGTGTATATAACATATAGTGTCAACTCTGTGTCGATATAGGTTCGTTTTTCACACTATTATCGTACATACGTTCATGTATTACTATTATTATTATCTCGCACTATAGCTTATATAACTGTGACTGATGTATAGAATTACGTTCATATTATATTAAAAATATAAATTGTGATAGAAATATTTTAAATATGAGTAGACGATAAAATGGATTTTTTTTCTCAGTCCTAAATTGTATAAATTTCAAATAGACAAATATAAATTAATAATATACTTATTATTCTGATATATAATTACATATAAGCTATTATTTTTTTTAAATCTTTAAGTTTTTCATTCAATTATGTTTTGAATAATGATGACACAATAAAAATACTTATTTATAAATATGACAATATATGTACATCTCCAAAAAATACATACTGTATACCTATACTTAAAATAAATTCTTTATTATAATATTATATGTACATTTCACATACATTAAATGATTCTATTTTTGATTGATTCCACTTTTTATCTCTTCTTAATTCTTACCGATGCAGGTAACTGAAACGGAATTACAATATATTATCATTGTATATATTATATAAGGCCAATGTCGGATCATAATGTTTATATACTAATATATTATATACGCTTCTATACATAAATAACATATTCATAATATATACCAGCATATTAAATATCTATGTCTATAAAGCCATTTTGTACAGTGTCAAGAGAATGTAATATACTATCACACGGTAATTTCAAATGTTTCGGTAAGTTACGGGTGCTAGTATGAAGTTTCTATGAAAGTACCGAGAAAATTTTTGTAAACGCCTCATGAATATAATTAAATATAATATTTTTATTTCCTATGTGTGTATATACTGCATGTATAATGATAAATATCCTTTGATATCGGTTAATATGACCAAAGATAAAACCACGAATGGAATATCCATATTCCGTGACCGGACTTAAGAAGGAATTCGAACCCCGAGGACACGAATATACACACGAGATGGAAATAGTTACCAAGGTTGCCAGTTTTTCGATAATATAAAATATTATAATTTATAAGGTGATGTTTATTTGTATGCAGAGTTTTTTCTCTGCAAACATTGCAGCCATAAGGTTTTGAAAGTACATAAAAACACTTAGCGAAACTAAATAAATTTCTATTGATAATAATAATTATATTGATATAAGTTTTTGTAAAAGATGTTACAACCTGTATAAAAACGTACAGAAATATTATGACTACATGATCACTGAAAGTAGGCGCTAGGTGCTGACCACAGCACGTATTTCGAAAACGATTAACGTTTGGTCATATACACATAAACCATTGTTGTTTTTTAGAGGTCTCTTTGCCAAACAGTTTTCACTGATTTCTTAGTAATAGATATACTTGTATAACTATATATGTTTTAGTACAATATATACATACATAATTAAATTGGAAGTGACTATTATTATATACCTAGTTTTAGACACACATAGCATTTGCAGTATCTATAAACACAACATTTCACCATACAATATCGTTGTGTTTAACATAATATGAAAAAAAATATAGAAAATATATACTTTCGTAAAAAAAAAAACAAACGACAACAAATATATTTTAAACATTTTAGTTTACGTATATTATTTATTATGTATATTCGTTCATTTGGAAGTAAATAGGATATCGTTTTAAACCTCAATATCATAAAAACAAACAATAAATATACGAGGAAAAATGAATAGGTTACAATATTATGTATTGTGGTAAAAATTAAAGTGTATTTTAAAAAAATATATCATGTATAATATATCAATCCAACATAGACACGACGAGAAAAATACGTATTATTATATATTGATAGTAAATCAACACAGTTTACTGTGTTCTAATGATTTAAATAAAACGAAATCTTAATAACTAAATTTCTATGTTAAGTGCCTTTCAAAAACACATAGGTACTCGTTATAATAGCGCGTGTCCTAATAGGATGACACCTTAACGGTGATATGTTCCAGTCGTCTGTCATTATGGTATTGTGTCTCTGTCTCTATATATAATATTATGACGCCTATGGCTGTCGTGACAATGGAAAAATACGCCGTTAAAGATTAAATTTTACGCAGTTTTTCGTGTACAGGTAGGTACGCGATACATTTCAGTCGCCGTGGAATTCGACACGGGCACATTTTACTATCATAATACATTCGTATAATATTATTAAGTCGAGGCAATATACGTATAGGCAGCCGATAAACGCATTTGTATGATGTACAATATAAAATTGAGTACCGGACTTTGTGATCACGTTTTACTTGTAAACGACGATGCAGTAAACTATTTTACCAAACCGTATAAAACGGTAAAGGTCAATCACGTGGCCATGATTGATTAGAAGGAATCCACCTGCATGTAGTGAAAGTGTCGGGATTTTAACCGCAGGTACATTGATGTATCTGATGTTGCTTGAGTAGATCAACGAACTAGGATCTTATTATATATATATATATATATCTCAATCAACTGATAAAGTTACCTATATATTATGAAAATAGTAGATTATTAATTATACGCATGATGCGTTCGCATAGTCACACGCATTCTTTGACATAAACCCCACGTGAATTCGTTAAGGAATGTTAATTGAATAACAAAACAGAAAATTATAATCGTATTAAATATACATTGTATGTAAATTGTATATATATATATGTAAATATATATATAATTTATACCATAATAATTATACGAGTACCGAATCGTAATAATATTTTTAAAAATACTCTTTATTAATATATACGAGTATATTACACGTTGACCAGAGTAGCCTTTATAGTTTATACCTACAATACCGTCAATCTACCCCCGAGCCAATGGATTTTACCAACATCATTAATTTTTCTACAGTCCATTGTCGCTCTACAGCTGAGAAATACGTCTGGCATTGATTAATACGAGAAAGAGTTCTTCCAACGTCTACCGTATACGCTTACCCAAAGCGCAATCCAACCTCAATAGTATTATTATTATTGTAATGAGGTTTATTGGAATTAAATGTTATGTACTTTATTGTTCAATTTAACGTCCTTCGTATGACGTGGCAGTGACCTTCATAGTCATAAATATTCCAAAGTCATAAACGAACAGTTAACAAGAGAATAGTTGAACATGTCTTCTACATACATAAACGATATAGGTACCTGTGTAAACTTATTGCTTACCAGCTAAATGTATATATAATATATTTATATAGTATTATGTACCACGCGTGTTTAGATCATTAACCTATGTATTTAGTGGGACTGAGTAACCTAGTTTAAGGATTGTCAAGTATACTTTTTACATGATGCTATATTAAAGGTTAATATATTATTATGTATTTATAAATAAATAACTCTTATGCAGATGAAAAATTATACTTGAAAGGAGTTATTTTTATTAATTTAATTTAAAAATTGAACTGAGTAAATCAATGTAATACTTTTCGAATATATGTATTATAAACATGTAATGTTTAACGATATTGTGTTTAAAAATTGTTTTCAAGCATATCAAACAGTAAAAAGCATATAAAGTTGTTAAACTATAAACATTTTCAGTTTTAATTTGATAATTTAAAACTGCCCTTTTTAATAAATGATATTTTTTGAATATTTAGAGAAAAAAAAATTATTATTTAAAAAATACTTAAATTATATTTTTTATTTGTTTGTATAGGCCTATCAAGAAGCAATACAGAGTAAACGAGATATTCGTGAAGCTCTTGAAGAAGCCAATCACAAATTGGTTCACGTAAACAGCACTGGGCCCAGGGTAGTACATCAGAGTACTAAAAATAAAAAAGTAACAGACACAGAAGATACTAGACACACAAGAGAAGTTCAAAAAGATGGTAAAATCGTTACAGAAACATCAAAAACTACCGAACACGAAGAGGTAAATATTTTTAGTTTAAATGATTTAATAAACTATATTTATTCTAGAGTATAATAAATTAAAGTAGAAACACTTTAAACTTTATTCTAAAATTTTCTACTCTAATAATGTATATTGGGTACAATTAGTTTTATTATTTAATTAAACTTTAATTTATTTTTATTCTTAAATTAATCAATAAATAATCTCTACAAAGTACCATGTTATTTTACTTTTCCAAATTAATATTATAATTAATTTCATTTATTAAAACCTCTTTCTACATTCATCATTGGCATACGTTTTAGAAAACGATTCTATATTTTGGACTTCTTCCAATAATAAGTGTTTTAGAGTTGTAATTGAAAAAATATATTGATTTCAATAATAAATAATAATATTTCGTGTTTCAAATAATATTTTAACTGCGAATGAGATAATAATAATGAATTATTTTCTTGTAGGTAAACGGGGTTGATGAACCAGACAGTGTTCCATTACCACTCTCAGCACAACAAGAGTTGTTGCGTGAAAGTTCACATCGATACGCCAAGACCAAAGATCAAGAATTAGTTGAATATTTAGCAGATGGTGAAAAGATTGGAGAACAAATGCGTTACGAAGCAACTAACGAAGAAGGAGATCGACTTGGTGACATCAATCAACTACAGATGATGGCAAATGCGGGCGAGTTGGCTGGTTGGGAGAGCTTATCGGAAAGAATACGCAAGATGCGTGATAGACAACAACAACCGGTTGCCGGAAAAACTCTTGCGGACTTTGATGAAGAAGAACGTACTAGAAAAGTTCGTATAATTAACAATGATAATATATTTACTTTTTACAAAATTATTAAATGACTAATTTTGTTCTCTGTAGGTAGAAACAGCTAAATGGCTAGAGCATCATTTTGGTAGCGAATCGACCAGGTCGTCTACAGGAAACTTATCAGAAGAAGAAGCAGATGATCGAGGACATCAAAAGACCACGTCCAATAGTTTCATAAACGTGACTATGAAATCAACAGAAACACCAGCTAATGGATACTTCAAAGGAGTGTCTGAATGGAAAAATAATGATTCGATTCCTATTAAACCACCAATCAGGAGAAAAAGAGAACAAAAATCCGAAATTATTAAAAATACTGTTAATGAATTAGAGTCATCTCCGTTGTTTAATTCAGTCCAACAAAGGGTCCAGGGATACGAAATGACTAAAGATAAGTTGTCTGGACGTAATGCGATAAATGGTTTTAATCAATCGCATCACAACGGATATACTCAGGTGAGATATCCGTTTATCATTCACAATAATTTGTTTAATCGTCATTTTTAATACTGAATTAAACTAAATTATATTTTATTTTAATATGTACAGTACCAATGCTGTTATATGGTACATTATGTAAATAAAAAGTGACATGGCCTTCGTTAAATACAGTAAACAATACACACGCACACTTAAAGTCATTAGTATTTTATTAATTATATTAATTATCATCAATAATATTAATGTACAATTTATAAAAATATTAAATAATACTTTTAGACAAAATTTAGAACTTCAATTGCTATTTATATATTATCTTAAGCATTATAAGAATATCTAGTACCTACTTAGATAAATTTATTTTTAGCCACTTTAACATGACCAACCCTTAATGTAAGGAACAAATATTTAAAGAATGCATTCATCGATTGAAATTCGATATGGAAACCAATAACGAACGTGAAGATATTTATCGAAAGTAAAAAAAATACTGAAACATGAGCTAATATATCAAATATACCTATAAATACCTACTTTGTATCAATAATATCTACAAATAATATATCGATACCTTAAAGCTAAATTTATTCATGCCTATCATTGATGGATCACTTAATAAGCATTAAGTACACTAAAACTTAATTTTAAACATTATAGTATATACACATGCATATGAATTATATAATAAAAAGTGTTACTCGCTTATATTCATTATCTATGAAAAATCAGATAACTTAATTGTATAACATTTTAATTTAACAAGTTGATAAAAAAAAGTACAATTAAGTTTAGATTTCTAATAAGTAGTCAATTTTATTATTCATATAATCCGACGTTTTTTATTTGTGTTTTATAGTTAATAGTTACTCATCACTTATCAGTTATCACATTAATTTTGTATTTACTTACTTCTATTATTTTTTTCGACAATATTATAATAAGATAAATTAGTTTTCACAACATTGTACTGTATTAATTAAAATAATGTCTAAATTATTATAACTTAAAAAAGTAATAATATGCTATATAATAAATATAATTTTTATGATTTAAAAAATATATTTTTCAATGAATATTAATTATTATTGTAAAAAAAACTATTGTTATTAGACTAAATTCTTAAATATATACATAGAAAACTAATTTCATAAAGTTTTCACTATGAATTATAATTTTCCATAAGTTTTAAAATAATTAAAATGTCATCATTATAATGTATGATATTAAGTATACAAATATTGATATCTTTTTTTTCCTTATAATTATTACAAATATTTTATGTTATTAAAATGGCAAATAAATAATACATTTTAAAATAATTAAAGTACTGTAATTATTAATTTAATACGATTATATTATTTAAAATCATATTTATTTAGTAGGTACATGTCACACTATTTGTTTAAATCTAAATTTAATAAATTGAACATTATATTTAATTAAAATATTATATTTATGTTCAAAATAGACAATTAAATAAGATAATTCATTAAATTAGTTATATGTATATTTAAATATTGTATACTATGCGTATAGTTTATAACAACTATTATCATTTTAAAAATATGTCATGATATTATTCTTTAGAGATTTTGTAAGATGAAAATTAAAATTAATTTTTCATTAAATACAATAACAAAAGCATAATACATATATAAGTTAAACAGTCAATAAAATTAACAATAACAGATGAATAATTATTTTCTTATAATGTATTTAAAATTTAACTAATCGTATAAAAAAAAAAAAAAAAATGTTGGATGTGTATTATACATTATTCCTTCTAATTAATATTTTTAATGTAATTTTATAAGTGAATTAGGTACTATATATTATTTTATCATGATATATTACTATTATTGTGTGAATGTACTTAAAAATTACTAAATAAGCATGCATTTATGCGTTTATAATAGTACAAAATATATACTTTAAAAATGTGCACTTATTTTTTTTTTCTACTCACAATTTTCATGAGTACAATTATTTTAATAAAAACAGAAATTTATACGTCAATTAGGGATTTGAAAAAACACGATACCTAATGAAAACCTTCAAAATAAATATACATTTTTTTTATTGTTAAATTTTTAAATTTTACTATAAATAAATCATTAATTATCAAATATGCTCTAAAAACAAAAAATTACTAAATATGCACTGTAATGTCTAAAATTTGTTTTTTATGGTTGTGAAATTAATTTAAAGCTTTCCTAGCAATAAATCTATAATAACCCAAAAAAAAAAACATGTAAATGCAATAACTTCCGAACCCAACTGATGACTTAATCCCAACTGATATAAAACATGTATTAAACTTTCTTAGAAATTGTACTTTGAATATTATGTTCACGAAAATAAACTATTTTGTACCGATTCGTCTAGATTATATAACGTATAAATTTCGCTTAAAAAATGTTCCATATGAAACGTCGTACCCATCAAATCGGTACGCCTAACTATTATTATGAATATTTAATTGTACACTTGCAGCAGCACTGCAGTTATGATATGCCACACGAGGATTATTATATTATGACGAATGCGATATTCGTCTACGAGACGAATACGAGGGCTCGAGTTTTACAGAAAAATAAAATATTTTTTCGTTCTTAATACGTCGTATAGTTATAATAATAAAAACTACGTAATGATAATAACAACGACCATAATAACTAAACATTTATATCATTTTATTTTTCAAATTCTTGCAGACTGCGGCTACTACCGAGAGACGTCACGACTCAATCGAATCGTCGGCGCCGTCGGACGCGTACCGGTCATGGGACCACCGCCGGCGGCGATCAGCGGATGGCCAACGCAATAACAAATCGACAGCCGCAGTGGCGCCAGAACCGAAACCAGACTATTCGCCCGAACCCGAACGGCGAGCCAGCAACGGATCGTCAACGGCGGGCGGGCGTTCGAAAAAGGTGTACCAGAAGACGAGGTTTGCGGCGGACGCGCGACCAGCGCCTGACAACGGCGGCAACGGCAAACAGGAGCGGAAGAAATCGTTCGGCGAGTCGTTCCGGCGGCTAGTGGGCAAGTTCACGGGTGGCGGACACGGCAGCAAGTCGGACGCCGATCGGAAGAAAAACCGGAAGAAACCGGAATCGGCCGAGCGACGGTACGCCGACAGCGGCGACGACGGCGACTACGGTTACGGCGGCGGCGACGCCGAGAACACCTACAGGAGTTACGACGGCGGCGTCAGACCAGCCGCCGACCGTCATCAGCGGTTGTTCGGCAGCACGCAGACGTTGGATCGACACCGAGCTGGACGGACGGCCGACAACAACCGCAGCAACAAGGCTCGCGACGACGACTACGACTACGACGACTACGAAGACGACGACAACGTTCACCGATACAACGAGCACCGGGTCCAGGACGCCAGAGGATCATCGCCGGTGATGAACGGCGGCGGCAGGACCGGCAACGGAGTGCACAGATACTACTTGGGCGAGGACCCTTTCGGCGGCAGTATTTACGGCCGCGAAAGGGAATACGACGGCGGCAAGCGCAGACCGCACAAGAAGAACGGCGGCAGCGGCACATTTGACTCGCCCCAACATCACCACACTCATTACGTCCAGAGGTAATATTATAAAATCCTTGCCACATTATTATCCTTAAATATTTACCTGCGCGTCGCTGGTGCGGATCCTGCGTATAGGTTTTTGCCGTGTACCGCCCAGCTGCCTCCACAGTCCCGTCCGATAGCCTCTGTTATTCCTTGTTACCGTTAACCCGGCTAACACGATACGAAATTTCAGATTTTTTTGACATTTTTTTTCATTTTATTATTACGTTAAGCTGTCTGTCTCCAATTTATAAATCACTGATTAAAATTTACGAGACTAAATTCAACAAATTGTTATTAGCTATTTAACTCGGCCACTAATTTTTTATAAAGTAATTTTACAATATCATTATAACTTAGTCGAATAAGTAATACGAAATTAAGAGGATGTATTAAACATAACAAATAGATCATATTTTTTCGTTAAATATGTTTTTTTACTTTTCGTTTTAGTTATTTAGTTTGTAAAATACTGTTAATTTGATCTCACTTAATGAAAATATTTATCTAATTTATTTAGCTTTTGTAAAAATAAATAAATAAATAAAGGACCCGAGTGCCTATTTATTGTAACTTTTATAAAACATACAATTTTTATAACACTTCAACAAATATTTTATACTTATTAGTTAAATTATTTATTTTGAAGAGCTATAGGTACTTACCAAATATAATATTGTGTTGTATAACTAATTATATAAATGTAAAATGTACATTTCCAATTATTAATATAGAATAAAAATTATTTTTCTTAAACCGCGTCCTAATGACAATATTTAATGTATTCTAATGTACATTGGACTTAGTTAATATTAATTATTTGTATTATATAAAAATAATATTAGGTAGCTCAAATCAATTAATTTTTCTTAATTCTTAATAAATTAAACATAAAATAATACAATATACTTATATTACTTAAATATATTTGTGCGCTACGCATTATTATATATCTTTATACCTATTAGTCTAACTCTGAGCAAGTAACTTGTTACCATTTATTTATTTATTCGTGTGATAAACTTTTGCCATGCAATTTAACATTTTAAATATTTTTAAAATCGATTTACAATTTTCAATCGATATTATTTCGCTACAGTGACATTAATATTAATAATAATGATAATAATCCGCAATCATTTCCATTGTTGTTTACACGATTTAGCACCACGATTTGGCAAAAAAATGACGGCTATACATGTTGTATCGTAACAATCAACCGTGTACAACATTATTAGCATATAATGGAACACTCCTATAAATATTAAAACGCCAACATGATTATTAGCCTGTTTTTTTTTTTTTTGTATCCACAAGGAGGCTGGCGAAAATTGATAAACATATACGGACTTCATCATCAGTGTCGTGTGCTAATATCTTAAAAAGGCGAAACCTGTTTTTATTTTTAATAATAAAGTATATATATTAATTGCTACAAACCGATTTCGCACGAGGCGTGTCACATGTCTGCTGTCGTTATGTTATTATTATTTGCGTGTGCGAATGAAAGTGAACTGTAGCTGCAATTTCCCCATGTGAGGGAGACACTCCATAGAATTCTTAAAGATTTTTACGTAGGCTGCAGACGATTTCACTCAAATACACGGAAGTTTTTAAATAAACACACTCAATATTGGTTAAACTTACGAGTTTACCACATACCAAATTTAATTTATGCACACAATCTACTAGATAATTGTACATATTAAAAAAAAAACCAATCAATTAGAAATAATACTTAGATTTCAGGTATATTTTAATAATTTTACGTTTATTCTATTGAGATAAATATTCCATCTCAAAAAATTCGTAGTGTAGTCCGGCAATCTAAGGTTAGATTAAGTAAATCTATTATATACTAATTGTGTTTATCATTTTTCAGTTAATCATTTTTATCCCATTGGACTTAATACCTATCAGGAATATTTAGTTAAAATATTAATAATAATTGCTGTTCACTGTTTTTAGTTTATATTTGTTTTGTTATTATACAAAATACACTACTAACATTGTTTAGTATATAATCTTTAATATAAGTAGATTTATTCGTAGTTGTTAAATAAGAAAACAAATTATTGGCCTACAATTTTAAATTTGTATAATTCTTCCACGTTGTATTTCGATACAAATACGTAATTAATATTACCTATTATAACTTTCAATGTTACTTTTATGTTTCTCATTCAGAATTGAAACTTTTAATAATCAATTAATACTATCCCTAATCTAATAATTGCAATCGTTCAAACCGAAAGTATTATTATTCAAGACATCTTTTTTTTCTCGCAAAATTGAATTTCTTATGTGTTAGTTTCTAGTTAAAAACTGTCCAGGGTCAAAAAATATAATATTCTACTTGCAATCCGCAGACATCATACAATAATGTTTTAACAATTGCTGAATTACAATAAAATATTAGTCATGTTTACAGGATTAAAGGATTACGTATAGGTACTAGACAATCTAATCATTGAACGGAAATCCTTATGCTATATTATTAAAACCGACCTTGAATTTGTATACTATAATTTGGATATTATAATTTTTCAAAATTAGGAATGGCCAAGTGTTTTAATTGTTATAATATATAGTATAGTACAATTACCACTATGATAATATAGTTAATAGTCTTACGGAATTTGATCATTTAAATAATTTCGAAATATACTATACGACACTTTACGTACTATGGCTAGTTAATACTCCGTTTTCGGTGATTTCAAGGTCGAGGCATGGCACTTCATTTACGTAGGGACCAATTATTTACGAGAAAAAAATGCAATTAATTTGAAATACTGCGTTGTAACACACCTACGTCCTGTTTTAAACATAAACCTACCTGATGACATACATCGTCTAGTTTTGACTTGTTTACGTTTGTTTTCCACAATATATTGCAACGAATAGGCAACAGCACGCAGAAAACGCCCACATTAAAAATCCAAATCAGGAAATATACCACTACCTTCTATTTTCTACGATAATGTCACAATAACTTGACTAGATAGTGCAATTTATTATCAAACTCAATTATTTATATATCAAATAGAATTAAGCAAAAAAAAAAAAAAATCAACTATAAGTAATATTCGTACTTAAAAATTACAAAGTAAATAGTTTTGTTTTTTATTGTGTATAATATTATACATTGGTACTAAATTTCATCAAAATATTTTAGCTGGGAAATTACAAAGTTTTTTGTTTAATGCGTTCTATTTTCCTAATTTTAGTGTTACTTATTTGAATCTTTTATTCATTTATTTTTGTAAAACAGAAGCAATTTAATATTATAATACAATTATCAAATTAGTATTAATTTTGTATACTTTTCAACCGATTATCATAAATTATTATTTGGTAGGTAGGTACTATTCTACTATTATATAATATTATATTTCATTGCCTATTATTTTTTTTTTTTTTTTTTTTATTATTGGCATTTGTTTTTTTAACATTGTGCAATGTGCATGGTTAATATGCTATTAAAATTATTAGTTAAAAAGCAAATCAAAATTGTATTAATGAAAAAAATGTTACATGATGTTATAAATATTTAGTTGTTATTCAGATATAGATACATTCAAATATATTATTAGAGTCAAATAGATTAAATAATAAATGTTGCAGGACTATACCAGTGAACACGACCAGTACTACTTTGGGTCGGTTTAGTAAATCTACAGGACGTTTGTTAGCTGACGATTACAACAATAGCGTGTCAGATAGAGCTCAAACGCTGCCGAGAAAACTACGAACGGAGAGCAAAATAAAAAAACAGGTAAACTAAATTATAAAAACTATTTGTACAATCAAACTCTGCAATTAGATATTATTATTATTTTCTACCTATTTAATATCTAGAGATTTTGATTCGTATTTTAGGAAATTGATTTTGAGCTGATATTCATTATAATATTAGTGTACCTAGTACCTACTTCAACTAATATTTGTCACATTATATGATAATTAAGAGTTTCGGTCAGGTGTTTGATTTTTACATACCAAAAATATTCTGTTTTGGAATTAAAAATTAATGTATTTCGTCACCTAAATGAAAAACTTAAAAACAAATTATGACAATTAAAAATAGATTAGGTTAGGTTAGAAACGAGTGTAGAGTACGTGGATAAAATACTCACCTGGATGCAGGTATACCCGCTAAACAATACCCATAAGTTATTTAATAAGCTATTAGTTGTAACTATCATAACATATACTTACGGTGTCACAAAAACACGAGTAATATTATATAAGTCTCGTTACTACCGCAGGTGCACGCGTCCCGGGAGAACGATTACGGCGGCGTTACGAATCGGTCGGCGGCTAACTCCGGGAGCATGATCAACGTATCGTTCGCCAACGGGCCAACAAAGCCACAGCGGACGTTCTCAAAACCGTCGTTGCTTCGGAGCCAGAGTTTCAACGTGCAACCAGATCCGGGACACTTGACGCGCCGGTCGGTGAGCACGTTGCACCGGCTGGAAGAGTCACCGCCGCCGCTTAAGAGCCCGAACATCGTAAGCATGTTGAGCAGGAGCACCAAGGACCTGTCGGTGGGCGCAGACGACGGATACAGATCACTGTCCGGCAGTTGGGCCAGCCCGGGAGAGCTGAGCAACGGCACCGGAACCGCGTACCGGCGGGACGATCCGAAGAAAAAGATCTTTATGAAGGGCTTGCTGGACCACGCGCCCGAGCTGTACAAGACACTCAGCCACCAGGAGGACACGACCACTGGCCGACGGTATTCGCCCGTGAAAATGGACAGGCCTTACTCGAGCAGCGGTCACTCGTCGTCGCCGACCATCAGGCACGGTAACGGTGAGGTTACCAATCGGAGTGTAACACGCCGGGGCAGTAAGGACGATTACACCGAGACGGTACGGATCACGTCCAAGTCAGACGATCCGTACCGACCGAGCGTCACCAACACGGTTCAGAACTTCACAAAGAAAAAGGTGCCCAGAGACGGACGAGTGGAAACCATCGAGTCGACCGAGACCAAGACGGTGACCAAGAGTCGGTACAACGGCGGCGACACCATTAACGGGTATAACAGCATCGGTGGCGGCGGCGTAGTGATCGAGGTCAGGAACGGCAGAAACTGATGTATCAATGCAATACAGTGTAACCTCTAAATACCGAACATCGTCGGTAGTCGACACTTGTTTGTTCGTTATTCAGAGCGATCTGTTTGGAGTCTATTCCTCCAAATTCGGGGGGGGGGGTGTCTGTTATGGGAGGTTTCGCTGTAACGATAATATAACACGAAATCAACCTTTATTATTATTGCTATCGTCGTCGACACCGCCGATCGTTATTATAATTATAATATAATATTATGAAGTATATACATATACTTATATTATTACAATTAATAACTAAAAATTATCATAATTTATACGAGAAAATAACTAATTGATAATAAGTAATATACAATATCATTGTTGCTACCGGTTGATACCTAAAATAATATTTTGTTATTAGCTCTATAATTCACCTAGTACCTAGGTAAAACTATGATCATAATCTATAATTATACGTATATATTTTTTTTCTGTATCTAATTGTTTTTAACATCCCTATAATTGTATTATTATTATTATTATTATTATTATTATTATACAGAGTTAATAATTATTGTAATAATATATTACACTGAGGCACCGGCTACAAGAATCGATGCCATTAATACATTTTATGTTTTACTTTATTATTATACTACTAATGAAAAATTTAAAAAAATGTCCAGACTAATTTATTTTTAATAGATATTATTTAAGTTGAGTTGATTGTGTCGAACACACGTGTAAGTACTAAAAAATTGTAAATAATTATTGTTTTATTATAATATATCGCTCAATAATTTTGTGATTTTTTTTTTTTATGTGCTATGAGTGATTTAAATGAATGTAAGAGTAATAAGTGTTAATAAAAATTAACTCTACTCGTGTATGTTAAAACTGTGTTTTACATGAAATATACTATATTATCTTTTGAAAATAATATTAATAATAACTAGGGGCCGGATTTATATGCAAATGCATATTCTTCTATAATTCACGTAGAATAATTTTGATTACAAATGTCGAAGTTTCGTTATGTATAGATTCTATGGTTAGTTTTTTCATATTTTTGCACATTTGAATGAAAATATATATTTATTGCATATTTTTTTATAGTTGCATAAATGTTGCATATGCTACAATTCGTATATTTTACGTCTGTAAAAATATCTACTGTCGATCTTAAATAATCCATTATAATGTATATCGATAAGTTATTGTCACATATTGAATTTTCTAGTAGTAAATTTATAAATTTATAATTATCAAAATACGTCTACATTAGATAACAGTAAGTAAATTAAGTAAATGTACACATATTGTACAATACGTATTCGAACACAGAATTTAGTTTTAGTTTGGTCTGTCTATTAATCGTATGTAGTATACAGTGTTAACAGAGTTTAAAAATCCAACTTGCGCCTTTTATTTTTATATAATGCCTAAAGTAAATAATGCTTCTCGATATGTAAATGATTACCTAAACGTATTCAAAAAAAGACAGAAATATTTTATTTTGCAACTTTTGTTGTGTAAATGTGTCATGTAACAGAACATTTCAAGTAGTACAACGTTTAGAAACTACAAAACATATAACGAATTGCTAATTGAAAAAAGAAAAGACAATTCAACCTTTTATTAAAAAAAATGTCATCAGGTCAGAACTAATAATCAAAATACAAATGAGTTTCACAAAGCTTTATGTATATTTATTATGGTGGCTAACGATATTTCACTTTTTAAATTAAACAATCCACAGTTTAAATCGTTTTTTGAAAAATATTTAAGACTTTAATTACCAGATGCATTGACCCTCCGAAAGAACTATTCACCGTTGGCTATGATAAAGTTTTATGTAAGATTAAGAATAAGATAGGGAACAGTCCAATTTGGGTTTTTATCGATAAGACAATTAATATACAAGGATGATATGTTGCTAGTGTCATTGTTGGGAAATTATCAACTGAAGAATGTACAAAACAAATCGTTTGAACGGTTAAGCAATTAAAAAAGGCAACTTTTCAAACAATTTCTCAATTCTTTAATGACTTCATGAGCATTTTATGGCCCAAAACAATATTTTATGAAAAAATATTATTGTATGTAACAGATGCTGCTCTGTACATAATTAAATCTGGTGAAGCTCTTAAAGTATTTTACACTAAATTAATTCATGTAACGTGCATGGCTCATGAACTTCACATAGTAGCTGAAGTTATAAGAGAAAAATATCAAAATGTTGATAGATTAATTTCATATACTAAAAAGATTTTTTAAAAGCACCTTCACGTGTAAATACTTTCAAAGAAATGTATTCTAATTTGAGTTTACCTCTACAACCAATATTAAGTCATTAGGGTACACGGTGTGAAGCAACAATTTACTAAGGGAAATATTTCAATGAGGTAATGTGTGTTATTAACGCTTTAAACCAAAACGAAATGAAGTGTATTGAAAACGCACGCAGTTTATTTTATAATAAAAAGTTTAAAAATAAGCTCGCCATTATTACAACACACTTTCAGTGTCTTATAGATACAATAACAAAACTAGAGAAATTGAATGTTACTTTAAGAGATAATCAATTGCAGTATTTTTCGTAAAAAATATTAAAATTAAATTTGGAGAAGGATGGCCAGTGATAGATTTCGCTAGATCTAAACTTAAAAAATGTTTTGATAAAAAATCATGGATATTCAACATTAAAAAAAACCAATACCTAGTATAATCAACGGTAACGGAATGTGACGACGACAAAGAACTGCCAGTAGAAAATCTATCCAGTTTTAAATATGCACCAATTGTATCTTGTGACGTGGAGAGAAGTTTTTCCAAGTTCAAAAGTATATTCCGAGATAATCGTAGATGCTTTCAATTCGAAAACTTAAAATCGATATTTATTACTTAATGCTGGTACTCGTCTCAAAATAATAATTTAATATAAATAGTATAATACTTTTAAACACAATTTTATAAAAATAATAATTTTATATAGTACTTTACCTAATTAATTTATAATATTTTTATACGTAGGTACATAATATCATTAAAAATGTTATTTTGCGGTTTTTTTTTTTTTTAATAAATTTTAGCAAATTTTTATTCATAATATATTTAGATTGTGTACATTTTTTACTTAAAACCTTGTAGTTTGTAAATTTGTAAAAAAAACTGTTTCGCATATTTTTTGTATATTTATGATATCAATCCGGATATTTTATAGATTTTTATTGCATGTGGATCCGGGTCCTAATAATAATAATTGGTATTCCTAAATGGTTAATTTTTTATAAAAAAAAACTTAACTATTCGGTTATTATTGGTGCTTATAAATATTTGAGAAAAAGAAATATTATAAATTTAAAATTAGTAGAATTGCTTATACATTTTTCATTAAAATCTAACACGAAAAAAAAAATCAAATGTTATTATCATTTAACGATACTTATTTTTTACATTATGTACAATGTATACTCATATGTGTATACCATTTTAACAGGTGCACCGCCGCTTGCCAGATATTGTTGGATGTTTCAAGCCATATAGTTTTTTTTCTATATGGGTCACCTAAACAAATTTAGCTCTTGGATATTTAACCCATAACTACATTTTTATTGATGATAAAAATTAGTAAAAACGTAGATAAATTTTAATTAATTGACATAATATACAATGAGCACAATATTTGTCTCCTACCATGTATATTTTTTATTATTAAGTACATAACTAACGTAATGTATTACAGTTATATATAAATAAATTAAAATACTAATAGGTAATGATGTAAATTATTAATTACCATGACAATATTCTTCTTCTGTTATTGTGGAAATGAACAATATTTTTTTTTCAATTTCTAGTATAAAAATAGAAATTAATCACTTGTTTGATGTAATGGCCTTCAGACAAGTTTTAATTTGTACACGAAGAAAAAAGTTAGCTCTAAAATATCACTTAAATATTTAATGGGGAAATTATTATAGCAATAATACAAACATAGTAGCATAATTATTGATAATAGCATAAACATAACTTTAATGTTTTTAAAAATGAAATTTTATACTTTGCTACAAGCAAAACAAATTATTAGCCTAACAACAGGTTAGGTATGAATTCCATAATTTACATTGATACATATTTATAAATTTTCTATTTTTATTGATTATAAATGATACAATTTTTAGTTCAACAAGCATCTAATATGAAAGAAATTACAACTTAATAACATTTTTAGATTTTGTATTAAATATGGAGTAGATAATAATATTAAAAGGAATATTAAGAGTTTTAAGTACGTTAATTACGACTTGTAGAGCACTGAGCAAGGCAATCAAATGAAATATGGAATAGGTTACAGACACATTAATTTAAATGAAGTGTACAAAATGGACGTTTAGGCCCAGTTTCAACAAGTAGCTGGGTAGAAGATTATGTCCGATGCGTAACTGATTGAATTGTACTATATATGGTCTATCTAGGTGTAAATTATTGAACCAAGTTTTTTTTTTTTTATAGATATTAGATATGTAATATGTAACATTGTATGTAACAAAAAATGGAAAAAACTGACGACTAAGAAATCTAAAATTATGAAGAAGAAACAAATAATAAATGTATACACAAACAGAACGAATAATACCCAAAAACCGGCGCCCTTTGTTAAAAAATCGTCATCTTTTATAAACCACCAGGCGAAAGAAAGGGAAACGGATCGAACCAACTATATCTTATTACAAAAATTGTTACATGTAAAAGCAGCCGTTTCAACTTTCAAAAGTAAGGAACATTATTATCTATGAACTTTAAGCAAATGGAATACAAATTTATATAGATAGAAATGGATGGTAGTACTCGTTTTGTGATGTAAGTCGTCTTCCAACTATTTGACGTCTAGCATCCAGAGCAGTTTATTGTTTTTGGAATGCAGCGAATAGTGATCTAAATACGGATATTTTTATTTAAACTTATTTCATAGGTCAGATTATTTTGATAGAAAACAGTTCGTCGGATAAAAGGCTATTTTATATATTGCAAATCATTTTTAATACTTTTCAGCAAAGCCGTGAAACAATTTTGTCTTTTTTTAATTTTTAAAATAGTTTTAACTTTTTAGTTTTATCTAAAAACTAAGCCACCGTTGTCACCGTACCCCAAGACTCACAAATTATACAGGTTGTCTTATTCCGAAATTTTGAAAAAATAGGAGAAAGGGAGATTTTTTATTGACGCCAATATCGTACAGTTGTCGTACGGCGTGTAAATACATATAGTTGTTTATGTTTCTGTTTACATGTTTTTTTTTTGTATTGAATATTTTTTATTTTGTATTTTTTATTAATTATTTATAAACCCTGGACCGTACCTAACGTTCTTTATCAGTTATTACGTAGTTGTGATTAGTTATTACATTGTTATCAGTGTTATTGTATATTATTATTTGCCGCCAACCACAGTGTTATTCAAATACTTATACATGTACGTAAAAACTGTTATACTTAAGGACATTTTATTTCCTCATATTATTCCAAAATATATGGCTCCACAATCTTATAACCCAGCACTGGAATGCTACACAATTAAAGTGTTTAACAATATAAGGTCTTGACCGTGTGCAACACCCGTTATGTACACATTACGAGATGAATGTCCAGTAGCATTTCCAAATATGAAAACAAATATGGGACCAAAGAAATTAGGTCATAATAACCAAAATAACGTTAAAATTGCAATTTCAACACATATAGAAAAAAATTAAAGATAAAATCATTTAATTATGTTGTATTCAAATTAATTAATTAGGTACATTTTTATTTTAGAATTAAATTTACAACATTATGTTTGAAAAAATCTGTTATTTTAGATAGAACTTCGTTTGTATAAAAATCACGTTAACTTAAAACACAGTTAACCGCACAACGATTATCCGTACACTTTGATGAAATAAAAATAAACCGACGACAAAACACAACAATGAAATTATCGGTATTATCGGTTGTCATTGCACCTCCTTGATAAAGTAAAGACATTCTAAATAAAAGATTTTTTCAATATAACCAAAAATTACTGTCATAACATCTGTATAGTAATTATACAGACGTCATAATAATCGATACAAATTATTACATACAATATAGGAGTTTGCTGGGATCTTCAATCTAAGGTCATTACACCCAATATGTCATTACTGATTACAGTCGGTGTAATAATGAACAATTTCTAGTGTGTGTATTTTTTTTTTTTTAAAGTTATTAAAAATAATTATTATATAGGTAAACGCAGCGGATTGATGCGAGCTAGTATGCGTTATACTAAAGCAAATAACTATAAGGTGCTTGAAGTCTGAGTATGATAAGACTTAAACGAAATCGTTGCTTATCTATTAAGGTTGTAATAATCTTTATGGCTGGGCTATGGCGGAATGTATGCTCACCGAAGGTTTTAACTGTTTTAAGTGGATTGAAGCTAAGCTCGATGGGCTTAAGAACTTGAAAGATAACTCACCTATCGGACGGAAATATAAGGTAGAAATGACATACCCGGCAGAACTACACGATCAACATAATGATCTACTATTTCTGCATCAAAACTGAATATTCGAAGGTTTGAAAGTAAAAAAAACTAATGGCGACTTTCAAGCCAAAAAAAATAATAAAAATATGTCATACATTCCGCAGTTGATAATTGAAAAATTATACTTTTTTTTTTTTAGTATGCGTTAAACATTTAAACATGTATAATATTATTCTAGGTGCATAGAGTCCTGTAATTTAACCAACCGTCCCGGCTTGCCGAATGTATTGATTAGAACACAGATACGAGGAAAAAAAAGCTTTGAACGATTTAAAAAAGATTTCTTTAAGCTTATGAACAATGCGATTTTTAGTATTTATATAAATATATATATATTATTATTGTGTTAAATTGATTTTATATTAGCCTGTTTAAAATTGTTAAGGTAACTCTATAAAACAAGTTAGACGGCAAAAACGTGCAGAAACTTATTAATTAGTCAACATTTAAATATGCTACATAATATAGGTAGTGAAAACCTAAATGCAATAACATGGTCGAATAAAATTATCAAATTCAATAAATTTTTTTTTTTTATTTATTTATTTATTTTTTATTTTATTTAGTTGCCTACTATAATAATAATTATGATAGCTCAACATTTATATTTTTAACAAAGAATTTTAATTACATTATACATAAAATTATTACGTTATAAGGATTTTAAACTTTTCGCTATCACATATATAAGAATATTATAACTTATTCAACATAATAACATTTTATAATTTATTTTTATCTTTAAAATTAAAATTGTTATATTCACACTGTCCCACACTATGCCACCATAAGGAAAATAATTTTTATCGTTTATTCCTCTACTCACTTCTAATTACCAGAAAAAGTTGTATTAGTAGTTTAATTTATTTAAGTAACTATGAAAACAAAATAAAGCAAATTTTTTCAAAAATGACCCAGTGTGTCGCTATTTATCGGGTTTTTTTTAAAATCATGTATTATGTTTTTTAAGGTAGTATAAGATGTTTAAAACGTCGTACCAATAAGCTAGAAAGTTTGATGCAGTGTCATTCAAACTTTTTATGTAATCATTAATATAATTTTCGAAAAATTTACAAACAAAGGCCTCGAAAAACCGTTTTTTTTTTTTTTTTTTTTTAAACACGTTCCATACGATATTTAGATGAAGGAATAAGTTTTTAATTTCAAAACTTCGTATCCATCATAAGATGTGATGCCAGAAAACTATGAGCTTAAAGTATTATAAAAAATCAAATACATACATTTGTCATAAAATGCTGGTAATTTTTTTTTAATTTAATAAAAATAAAAAAACAAATTTTTGAATCAATGTAATATTTAAAGTAATAACATAATGAATAAAAAAATATTTCATTTGAAATAAATAACAATATATATTTATGTTTTTGTTTAACATATTATTACATAATATAATTTATGTAATATAAAATCTTAATCATAAAACCCTCAAGACAAATAAACATTGATTTAACTTTTACACGTATATTATAAGTTATTATAAATTTATAATAAAAATTTACAGTTAGTAAAACTTACAAATTAGACTAATATTAATACATTTTAATAATTTTACTTTGGTTTTCTTAGTCAATTTATGTTGAATTTTTGAAAAATAAAAAATTTCACTGTCATATATTTGTTTCTTTTGATTTATCTAATTCATAATATTTTTTAATATTCCAATATTTTAAATTATTTAACTGTCACATAGTAGATATATTTTTCATTTAAAAAAAAAAATTATAATTTGCCGATAATAACCTATATGTAATATTAATATGATTTATGACAGGTGAAAAATATTTCTTTTATAGAGCCTATGAATGATAATTCGTTATCTTAATAATTTTGATGTACATCTGATTGCAATTATTATAATACTTGTTATTATTAACTTAATATATTATATTTTTGAGTAGATCTAAAAAAATTGTATTTATATAATATGTACCTAATACTACATTTACATTATGTCATTTATGTATACTGAAACTTGAAATTACATGACACTATAGTTACTATTTTGCTTGTATTTTTATACAATTTATAAATTATAAACTAATACTCTCTTCTCAATTAAAAAATGAATATTATTTTAATAATACTAAATGTTTATTGTAGTATTAATAAATCAGTCTTAAAAATTGTACTAATATTATAATGACTAAATATACAAAATAAAGATACATAATAATGTATAGGACAAAATATAGAAAATGTAAATCACAAATGATTATTTAAACTAAGTAAGTTTGATTTATTAGATAAATAATATATTTAACTAAAATTAAAATAATATGAATATTTTTAACAGTAAAAGAATTTAACTTCTAACTATTTTTACTTGTAATTAGTAAGGATAGTATAGACTAATTTGAACAAAAATATATATATTTGGAATTTATTGTACATATATTTTATAAATTATATTCTATATTCAATGCTTACTCTTAAGTCATAATAAACACATAAATTTAGAATAATTTGTATTACTTAAATTTAAATTAAAACATTTCTTGTCAAAGACACTGTTATGTATGATCAAATATAAGTAAAAAAAAAAAAAATTATCTTTTTAGGTTTTTAAATATTTTATAAGTCTTTTTTCTATGTACTATATAACTTATTGCTGATGACACTGTAGTAGCAGTTGTCAACCACCACAACACTTTGAGCGCAGGATGATCAACAAAATCAAACACTGGAGCTGCTATAGTAGCACAAACCATTGTTAATTGAACTGTGGTATTTATCTTGCTTATGAACATGGGTGCTAATTGAACATTGGTATTAGTAACATCAAATAATTTGCTTAAAGTCCTGGGTTTAGGTATTGACATATAATGAATTTGGAAAGCAGCGCCAATTAAAACTAGATCCCTTAATATAATTATACCAGTAAGATACATTGGGATTAAACCTATATAAGTTAATGTGAAAAACATAGTACCAACAAGAACTTTGTCTGCCATTGGGTCCAAAAAACTACCCAATTTTGATTTTTGACCTACAAAATTTCTAGCAATCCACCCGTCAATTAAGTCGGTTATGCTTGCTATGGCCACAAAACTGAGAGCATATTCAAAATTTCCATTGACAATAAGATAACCTAAATAAGGACTTAAAACTATTCTGGTCATACATAACATATTAGGTATAGTCCAAATATTCTCCTTTATAGTATCTCGTACTTTTGATTTAGTTTCTTTGATGTCATCCAGTATGAATTTACTTTTGTTTTGAAATTTTTGTTTAGTTTTTTGTAAAATAATCTGCTTATCTCGAATAGCATTTTTCAGTTTATTATGGCGTTTAGAAAATCGATCATCCGCAAAATAAACATTTGTTGTAATCCTGTGATTTTTATATAATCGTACTGATAAAAATGATTTATTATTTGAAATTACAGTTGGAAAACACATTCTGCACTGAGGTAAATACATTTTACAGCAACACTGGCTTGAAACAAATATATACTTCAATAAATGATGCATTTTTTCTCAGCTATTTAGTTATTCCTTCTTATTTCTGTAAAAATTAAAAAATTAAACACAAAGTAGTAATATAATTTTATAACTGTATTTAGTAAATAAAAATTAAAAACATAAGGAGTAAATTCATTAATCCATTCTCATGGTTTTAATGTTGAATAGTGAAAATCTAAGCATATAAAATATAAAAACCTATGCAACAATTTTTTTATTAGAAATAAACAATCTATACAAGTAATGTACAATAAGCTTATGTGTTAAGATAAGACAGGACATGAGAAATTGAATAAGAAGCTGTCTACTGGCGACATTTAGCATGAGTTATTTATATATATATATTTTGTTTAATTGTTGAAATTGTATATTTTAAATTGGTAATTATAGAAGGTCACGACACCATTTCCTTTTTAGCCTGAACCTTGGATTTCCTGGGAGAGTTAGTGAGGAGAGGTTTTTAATAAGAGGATTTTGATGGAATAGAAGTTGCATGCGGAAGCGCAAATAAAAGAATTGAGCTTCTTCATTGATGGTTTTCATATGAAAATCGTTATGCAATGTTAGGTTTGAGACGTACGATGGTGTATTGGAGAGTCGTTGAAGAGCTAGGTTTTGGAATACTTACATTTTATTGGTATTGGATTTTTTTGCTGAATCCCAGAGCTGTATGCCATAAGTTCAAATAGATTTCAGGAGAGTTTTGTAAATTAGAAGTATAACTTTTAGATTGGTATTATTATTTTTTGATACTAGAGGACTGAGCATGTGCATACGAGCATTGAAAGTCAGTCTTTTGGTTCCTAGATTATTAAAAAATTATATAAAATTTTTATTGTATTCATTGAGGAACTCAAACTAATATAGGAATTTTTTTTTTTAACTAAGAGACTTTCTTTATTCAATTTTACTTATTGTTATTACATATAGATTGTAAATATTAGTTACTTAAAAGGATTATGCAAAACCAATGGATAGGAAATCTTTGTAAGTTTGGTATCAAATGTTTATCTAATTTAGTTTTTGATATTATAATGAAAATATGTATGATATAATTAATAAATGATACTAACTATTACTCACTTCAAATGATCCTAAAGCAATGGCAAAAAAATATTTTATACAACAGGCCCAGAGTTATCTTGTTTTAAATTGGTAATGAAGTTATAGTTGGGCAACTTATAGTATTTTCAAACTTCACTCAAATACTTAAAAAGTTTAAATTAATAATAAAATAACAAATATTTGTTTTACTTTAGTAATTGCGATTTATAGTTTGTCCTAGGTAGTAGGTAGTATCTTTGATGGAGTATAGCCTATAGGCCATGGGGTCAGATCTCTCGAAAAGTGATAAGCGTGATAAACGGTTTGGGAGATCCGTTGATAATATATTTTTTAATTTTAAAAAGTTTAACAACGATTTCATATTTCCAAATTAAAACCAATAGGACAAAATTACATTAACTAACTACAATTAATATCGTCCATTTCGAGTGTATTCAACAAAAAACGCATATTTGACGTTCTTTCGACAGATTTAAAGTACAGACGGCAAACAGCTGTTATTACTCTGAGGTTATGTCCGTTTAAAATCCCGCCAATTAACTATTTATTATCACAAAATAATAATTTATATTATTCTTTTTATTGTTTTGGTTTAAACTTAAAAATAAAAAAAAGATTTTCAATTCGATTTTTGATATTCCAGCTGAAAAATACTTATCTATTAAATATTAATATAATCATTACTTGGGATTTTTAATACCATCTCACTGAATCGTCGTCATAGACATTTACCATCATGATGCACCCCGCTGAAATCGAATATTTGGCCGAAAATGAGATCATTCAAATAGTGCCGACGTTCAATCATGCCAGCCATGTACATCTTATATGCGGTTCTTATGGCCCGTTCCGAGCTGGTTTACCGTTGAACGTTCCTATCTGGGTGGCACTAAATCTGCGACAAAAAAAGACGTGTCGTATTCTAGCTCCTGACTGGATGACCGTCGATAAGTTACAAGAAAGGCTTGAAGAAGAGAAAGCGTCCAAGTATAATGAATGTCATTTATAACGATTATATTATCGATTCTAATAACCTTCGGTTTTCAGATTTTTCACACAACTACCGACCAATTATTACTTGGAAATCACACAAATGTTGTTGACTATTGCCAGTGAAGATATTCCACAAGGAAATGATATAAAAACGGCAGTTAAAGTGAGTGGTCATACCCGGGTACTTAAATAGTTATATATTAGCTATATTCAACATTTAGAATTCAATGAATTTTAGATATTATATTCTATACGTTTTAAGCAGTATTATATTCACATTTATATTCTCACAATATTTCTATTAAAAAATTACGATTTAGAAATCTAAGGAACCTAATAACAATTCAATAAGTCAATTAACTATACCAATCATTCATGCCTTAAACTTTTATTCGCTATTATATTTCCATGCATAATTGTACTTAAGCTATCATACAATTTTTTTTTAACTTAGTTTATATTGTTGATTTAAAAAAAATCACATTGTCAGAATTGAGTGCAAATGCTTAGTTAGAATTTTAGTGATTTGAAGATTATCAATAATACAATTTATATTGAATATATATTTAGAAATATTAAGGGTCTCTTTTTTTTAAGTGTATTATTTCCACCCTTGATGGTTTAAATTCTAAGCCCAAGTTTTAATAATGAAGTTAGCGAGGAGTAATTACTTTTCATACTTTAATTAGAAATATTAAGTAATTATTTGTGCAAACTTTTTTTTTGACAATATCATTTAAAAAATGTAAATTTATCTAAATTTTGTGTGATTTCCAAACTACAATAGTAACCATCACAATTTTATAACATTAAAAAAAAATATATTAATTATTTTTTATTCAGTGCATTCTAAATAACATTCTCACAGCTATGAATTTTTATGATAATATAGCTTTTTATCATTGACTACAATTCTATAAAATATATACTTTAACGACTAATAACATATTTGAATCTATAAAATACCTTTTTTAGAATAATAGTAAATATATTTTCACAATTATTAATATAAAATAATAATTACATTAATCTATTTTTTTTTTTAAGGATCTATGGGATTTGAGAATAGCAAAATTAAGATCTTCTGTTGATCTATTTGTCAAAGAAGGTCGTGTTCAAGCTTCTTTAAACCATTTAACGCCAATGGAGATTAATTCTGTGAGGCCAGTATTCCCAGATACATTAGATGCGTTAATGACACTCCACGAAGTAAGATATTAAATAAATACACTTATTAACCTTGTTTTGTTTATCTTTTTGAACAAATAATATTTTATTTTTTTAATAAAAAAAAAGTCTGTGATAAAAATTATCAGTTTGCTAAATTACATTATTTTTTTATTTAGCACATTAACTCAAGTGATGATAGAGAAAATAGCAGTCAATCTTCAGGAGGAACTCCTAATTCAATGCCTTTTTCATTATCTTTGTAAAATTGTTTATTCTTAAAATACTCAGAATTGTACTCAAATGGTAGTGCTTTCTTTTTGGGATCAGATTAAATTATTTTTAACACCAAAACTGTTATATGATTGTTATTATATGTCTAATGCAACTATCTAGTCTATAATATTTAGACTATCTTAATCAATCATATTTCATTTTCTTTAATCAAGATATAAAACATCGTTTTATTTTTATTTTGCTAATTGTAAGATAATGTTAAGTATTTTATTTTTGTCTCGTTCTACAATAACTTTTTATGTGTATTAACTATTAAGTAAAAAGCATAAATTTTTCAATGAATAAAAATCTTATAGATTAAAATGTTCATAAAAATATAATGTGCAATTATTAATAAGTCTATTAGTTACAAACAACAATGGTAACTAATGCGTTGTTGGGGTATAAATGATTATAGTTGCTGTTTAACATTATTTTAAATGTCAAGATCAAATTGTACTTATCGTATGTAGGATATATCCAAGGTTAGGTGAGAATTTTTGTATTTAAAGTGTATAGTGGTTATAAATAATAAAACATTCATATTTTATAGTGATTGTACTCTTATATTATTAAAAGCTATATTTTAAAAAGAATAAAAACACTAGTTTAAAATAAAAACAACTTTTATTTTAATTCAAAATACATAGTTAAATAGTAATAATGTACTCAACATTTTTGTCGAGCCTTATATTTATTAATTAAACTTTAAAGTTATACTAAGATATCACATATTATATTATGTAATCTAATATTTTTATGATTTATTATTCAGTCATCTAATAAAATAGAAAAGTGTTATTAAATATGCATATTATTTATAACAAATCAATTTTATTAGCTTATTGTATTATTTACTCTCAGTGATATCTGGCGAGTATTAAATTCACAAAACTACTTTATTTTGTCCAATAACATAGTTTTATATTTTTATTACTTGTAACCTTATCGTTTTAAATTGTTGAACAAATATTTTAGTAAATAAAAATGCATATCTTGTATTACTCATACGTTGTTAATGTGTATTGTGATTTATATTATTTAATAAATATTTATCATACATAAATGATACAAATCTATTTTAAAATTGTATATAATTGCAATTACATGTAATATTTTTGGTTAATGTGTACAAAAAATAAATATAAAAATTATTTCAAATTTATCACAGCGATCTGTGACCTAAATACCTGGGTATAATGAAAAATGATCGAAAAAACTATTTAATAATAACTATTACTGTCATACCGTTAACAATGAAAAATGATAATGATTTTTTTTTTTTTTTACTTTTTTACGACGGTATAGGTACTATTATTATACTATTATAATAATTTATAACCGTTAAAAACGCAATCGTGTATTGTATGGGTACGTAAAATAATCGAAACCGCATTGTAAACGTGGTATGCAAATCGTGCTCGCGCAGTCGTGTGTGGGTACGTTATGAAAATATGAACTCTTCAGCGACACGCGGTCGGACCTCCGGGGCTGCGCCGACGAAAAGAGGAGGAGGAGGAACGCGCACGCAAGACTTCGTGATATCACAATTTAGATCTTCACGGAACGGTCGGCGATGGCAAGGGGTGGCGTACGGCGGGAACAACAGGTGGACATTTCGAACGGGGGCCGTCCTGCACGCTAATCGCGCGAACGTTCGAAAACTGTTTGTTATTTCTACGCGTAATGACGTGTACACGATTGACGTGAAAGTGTATTCCACACTACAAAAGTAGAAAAAAAAAAACAGTGGACGGGAACGAGATAATAATAATAATAATAATATACTTGTGTATTATCTGAAATCGTTACGACAATCGACACGATTTCGTGGGCGCTACACACGACCCGATTGTGACTCGCCAAAACTGCACACACGATGTCGGGTGCGACTCGCGGACCGACAACGAAGTCGCGACGAGTTGCTCCGTACAATACGACGGCAGTGACAACAGGTATAGATATGGTACGATGGCGTCACACGTCGAGTGTGGGCGCAAACCAAAATAATAAAAATAATAATAATAATAATAATACGATGGGGGGCCTTAACTGCGCGTACGATAATAACGATGATTTTGTTCGAGGCGCGGGCACAAACGCGTACAACGATTATAGTGCGATCGAATCGTACGTCACCGCATGACAATATTAAATTATTATACATAATATACACACACACACATATATATATATATATATATATATATATATTATCTTATATCAATCAATATACTAATGTTTTGTGATTTCAGTCTTATGGTGAGAAAAACGCGAACGATGCTGTGAGTGCGATTATCGGCGTACTGCAGCGACGTCCACACATCGACAGCGCGATATCGCACCGTTAGTCGGCCGTCGGCGGCGCGTTGGCGGCCGCGGTCCGCGCGTCCGACGGCTTGCCGTGGACGACGTGACCGCCGCTGCAGTGAACCGCGGCGGAACCGCTCTGTTGGTGCTGCTGCTGCTGCTGTTGCTGTTGCTCGACGTCCGCCGCCGTCCCGTCGTTCACCGTGTTCGTCAGTTGCTTGCGTATGTCGCGTATGCTCTTGCGGATGGCCTGCGCCAGCTTCGTGGTCGGCTGCGACGCGGCCGCTTCGGCCGCCTCGTTGGCGGACGACGTCTTGTCGCACTCGTCCGGCGGCACCACCGTTACGGAACACGTGTCGGTCGCCGGCCGGCGGCTCCTGTCCATCAGCCGCTGCGGGTCCAACTTGATCGCGTCGTCGTAACTGGGCGGCGGCAAGTCCACCACCGAGGCGTAATCCGGCGGCTTCTCGTCCAGCCGCACTGGCGGGTCCAGCGATATAACGTGGATGTGGTCGATCGACTCCTGTGGACGAAAAAAAAAAAAACACCGTCGGTTTTAGTACGTGATGGTTACCTTACACTCGGTTTGTGTGGAATCAAAATAGATTATTGAGTCACGCGGGCGACTTTCTTTCGGGATCATTACCGAAATATGTCAAACTTTCCGGGCAGTGTTGTTTGGTAATACACCCGGATAAAAAGTAAAAACACTACTAATCGGACCATAATGGTAATGAAACTATTGAATAATAAATAAACCTACATTGATTGCATTCGTTAACGGTCGATACTAAACGATTAAAACACGATGCACAAATTATTATTATTATTGTTAAAATGAACAATATTTGACCGTGTAGGATACGACTAATTAGTATTCACAAGTACACAAAATTAAAAAATGGTAATAAAGTAGGCTGCCTAATCCTAGCTTTATCTTAGATTGCGCGTGACTGATACATAATACAGATTTGTTTATTAAATGTTGATAGATCTTGCCTAATCAAAAATCGAACGAATAGCTTTCTAGTTATTGAAATGTATATGCATATTAACGATAATAATTCTAAAAAATATAAAATAGATCAATATTAACTTATATTTGAACTAGTACATATTAGATTCAGACAATTTTTACAAACTGTTAATTGATTGTTAATATTAATTAGGCTCCCATATCTTTTAAATCTATTACGGTGGACCTATATTATGTGTAATACTGTAATACACAAAGTTAAATAATGCAAAACCTTCTAATATAAATTTCCATTTAGATAATAGGTACCTATCAAATTCAATATTTTCAAAAAAGCCATCAGCTTAACAGTTTACTGTGAAAGAGGGTGATTCTCGTTTAAAAAGAATAGTTAACTTCGCCATAGAGTACTCATCAGACGGTATAAAATTTTGAATATTTGAAAAAAAATACAGTCCTAAGCAATACCAACCTATATTTAAAAAAATTCCAAAAACTTTATTTAAATTAATTATTTTAACAAAATAGGGAGTGAGTATGTTAGGTGAGTCACTCTGTATGTTATATCGCAATTACTAATCGTTTGAATATTCGAAAAACATTAAGCTGCCACAACATCTGAATCAACATAATAATATAGATATATGCATAATAGATGTAATGAAGTGTGGAAACAACAAAACTATTGATACACTTAGACTTATTATAACTGTAATTGCAAGTTGATTTCATATGACCGAAAACAATGAGAAATATTTTTTCTATTTCCATCGTATATAATAATAAAAATTGTTTTTTTAGAATTACAAATCGGTTTAACGATATAAAATATTTTAACAGGACACACCATGTAAATTGGTATATATTAATATACTACCTACTTATATTACATGACATGGCATGATAGAGTTGTGTAAATATAAAATATAACAACCTTTACATATAAATTGATATAAATATATTTATATGTATTGTATAGCCTGTAGCCATGTAATAGATTGAACCTTATTGATCAATAGCGTGACTGGACAATAAATTGGAGGTGCAAACAAACGTCGTTACACGAGAATAATTTTTTGTTATTTTTTTGTTTTATTTTTTTTTTATTTAAATTTAAAATTAAAATATAAAACATATTAGATAACGTGATTGAAAGTTTATATTCTAGTATCAATCCTAATTTGATTAAGAATTAATATTTTTGTATTATTTCATATCTGTTGGTACATTTCATATTCATAATATTTTTCATAGATAAATGAAAAAACTAGAGCACCTTGATTATAAGTGTATAACGTTTTTTATATTTTTTAATACTGCATTCTGAGCTATAACCCTTTACATCGTAGTGCTAATCTAGACCTGATCTAATTGATTATTTTGGTTTACAACCGTAACTAACTATATAAACAAATAATACGATTTTTATTTTAATAAAGTTTTTGAAAATAATACTTGTTAAAATGTTAACTGATACCAAATAAGCGTTTTTTGTTTATTATTTTATTATTATCATTATTTTGTTTTATGGATGTTCTATATGTTATCTACTTTTAAGACATTTAATCTAGCAATTGTAACATCTTTCATATATTTCATAATAATTTTAATTATTATTAATGCTATGTTTGTAAAAAAAAAAAAAAATGTCAAATCTGAAATAATTCCGTAGACAGGCACCAAGGTTTATCTAAACATATTAGTTAAGGCAACGATAATTTTCATAGTCTCATTGTTTTGATGTTATTATTATTATTAGTATAGTAATATAACAGCACGTCATACAAAAAATAAAAGCTGTTTTTTTCTACAGTCACTAGGTACCTATACTATACGCAAAGAATGACGTTCATACTCGTTAATAAAAAAATTGTGACATAACATCACTTCAAAAGGTTTTACTACTGTTTTCAAGATCGTTTCTATGAACTTGAGAGGTGTAAATATATAAAATTATAATGAAAATGTATATTTATTGCGTACAAGCAGTGTTCAGAGTTACTTTTTTGATGTAATATCGTCATTCGTCTGTAAAGCGCAAACGTTGTTAAAAATACACGGCGGTCAATCATTTTTTTAATAACAATAATATTATTAAATATTATGTTACGTCATACATTTTTATCGCGACAAAAACAATGTTTAGGCGTGCTGCATGTTTGTTTATTAAAGATTTGCGCGATTTTTTTAATTATATCATTTACCTATGTGAGAGTAACTACTTTAATGTTACCATGAATGTGTATACAATAGAAAGGCAACATGCCTATTTCAGTTTGCAATTATTGTAAATAATTGACGGCAGTTCGCGCATTTTGTTAATGGCATACCTTTACTTGTAATTTGTAAGTTGTAGAACACTTTATCGCGTTGATCTCTACGGAAATCGAAAATATTAATTTGGGCGAGCTTCACCTTGAACTAAATGTCATGTCAAAATTATTTTAATTCCGCTAGAATGATATTTACGCCGTTCACTCGATGAGCTGCTGCAACAGTCGGTGCCACCGCGTATAGCAATAATATTATGTATTCGATGATTTTACCATAATATTCATGGTTTAAAATCATGCGTTTTTTTTAATATTTTAATTTTAAAGCTAGTTATTAGCATTTTAAAATTTTAAATTATTTGTGTGTTTTAAAATGTTAATAACTCGCTTTAAAATTAAAATATGAAAAATCCCCGTGACGTTTACTAAATAATATTCTTACTTTTAAATTTAATGATAGGTTAATTCACTGTAAATTATAATTTATAATGTCAATTATAAACGAATTGAATGCATTTTTTAGAACGTACAATTTGCAACGTTACCTACGTATTTGTAACACGGTGACAACGTATTCAGGTGCGGGGTGTAACGTAGGTACTCATTAAGAAAAAAAATATAGACTTATGATTTTTTAGATCCACAAAATGTATAATTTAATATGTACAAACTATGATATCGATGGCTACAATAATAGCCGACATAATATCAATATATTAAGTTTAATATAAACTGATTATTGTTGTCTTTTATATATTATTAAAATATTTAAAATCAACGAGAATTGAATACTTAATTTGACAGACTTGTGTATATTTTGAATAATTACGGACTTATTAAATACAGATATTAGTAACAGGTAAATTTACAATAATAAAAATTAAAAATTTTGTAAAAGTGAATAGATTATATAAATTTAATGTTGTATCTGTTATTATACTGTTTAATATACTTTTATAAATTATACAATTGTATGCATTTACACAATAACACGGTCGAAAGAAGGTATTGCTACATATTTTACTGTAAAATTAGTTATTTTTTTCGAATGTAGGTTCTTAAGAGGATGTCGCACCAAGGTTCGTATTATCTTAAGGTTATACGTGTAATCACGTGGCTGAAAAAAAACATGTTCACGCGCAGACCGATCGATAAAATACAAATGGGAAATGATTTTATACTAGCAAGCCAGCTTCTATATCTATATACAGTTCAATGCTTGTTTAAAATACACATTTCTGAAGATTACTGATACTTAAAACATAAAGTTGAATGCACGTACATCATAATTTACAATATGTCAACACATATATAGGTATATGTACAATATAATATATCACTTTAGTTTTTTATATTATAACGCTGAACTTAACGATTATTATTTAATTTTTTTTTTTTAATTTGAAAGCTATATAGAATAGTTATTTAGAGTCTTAGTGAAACACACGTAAGATACCTTTGACTATGCGATTTATCTATATTTATAATTTGTTTTTGTTCCTATATGTTTATTTTTACCACAATTGATAATAATCAATAACGATAAATTTATTTACTTTTTCCATACGCACAAATAATATCAAATGTACAATTAGGTATAATACCCACTTTAAAAATCTTTGAATAGTACTTTTTACCAAATGTGACAGTAAAATATAGGTGCATTATTTTTTCGTTATTTTAATGACGATTCTTTTTTTTAAATAAAATATTTTAGTATTATCACTTTAACAGTACGTGTGTATAGTGTACGATCGTTCATTATTATTTATTATTGTATATCTAGCTATATGCTCTGGAGGACAATTTCAATATATTTTAAAAGTGTGTCAAATTTATGTCTGACTAATTTTCACGGACTACTTCAAAAAATGTTTTAACATCGTCACTCAAAAAGTTTGACGTATGATGTTGATATAATTCCAATAGAGCAGTACCTAAAAGTTGACCTTATGAATATTTTGTTCTATGATCATACTATGTATTATATTTAAACAATAATATAGTTTCGAAAGTTAACAATTCAGATATTAACGAACTTTAAGATTGACAAAACACACACGGTTATTATTTTCGTTATCTCACTGTTTTAATTTCATATCCCAAATTTATGAAACTTCAATTTTAGATAAAATCAAATTTTGAACGATTAGTTAATAACTTTTATTTTATAAGTTTATTTAAAAGTTTATACAAACGTAGCGGAGAGTATATGTGATACGTGGATACCAAATAATAACCCTACGCCAAAATCCAAAAACACCCTTGTAAGTT